TCCATTAGAATACACAAACAAATAAATAAATAAACCAAATGTTCCTGGTACCATCAAACTTTGCTTGAACATATTCCCCTGGAATATTCCTAGAGCTATAACTAAAACATGAGGATTAAAGTGAAAACAAGGGCGCCTGGGTGGCTCAGATGGTTAAGCGTCTGCCTTCGGCTCAGGTCATGATCCCAGGGTCCTGGGATCGAGTCCCGCATCGGGCTCCCTGCTCCTTGGGAGCCTGCTTCTCTCTCTCTCTCTCTCTCTCTCTCTGTCTCTCATGAATAAATAAATAAAATCTTTTAAATAAATAAATAAATAAAGTGAAAACAAAAACATGTTTTTAATGCAGTGATAACCAAACAACCAAAATGGCAGTATGAATATTATATAGAATAATCTTTAACACTAAAGGAGTTTGTCACTGTTATTAATAGTGTTATCTTTCAATATCTAAATGTACACTACTTCTTGGAAAACAAGTCTACATGATGGAAAACAATCTATGTGTATATGTATATTAGATATAAACACACACATGCATATAGGTATGTAGGAAACACTGATTTTAGCTCATGAGACATAAAAGCATTGATCACAGAGGGGTGACATCATCCAAGATGGTGAAATGGGTAGTTCCCACTTCAGTATTTCTCACAGAACGCTCAACTAGCAACTATCCACACAAGACACCATTGGGCAAATCTCAGTACTCAGGAGTGAGGCTGAAGCACCACCTCGACCACAGAGACCAAGACTTCTACCTCTTGGGACGCCTGGGTGGCTCAGACGTCAAGCGTCTGCCTTCAGCTCAGGTCATGATCCCAGGGTCCTGGGATCGAGGCCCACATCGGGCTCCTTGCTTCTCCCGCTGCCTGCCGCTTCCCCTACTTGTGTTCTCTCTCTCTCGCTCTCTCTGACAAATAAATAAAATCCTTAAAAAAAAAAAAAATGACTTCTATCTCTTGCTATTATGAAAACACATCCAGATTTTGATGAACTGCCAGCGTTTTCTCCTCAAACAGCAGTGGGTAAAACTACTGAAAATTGAGAATGTTCCTCTGTTTTATTTGAATGCAAAGAATGATGCCCTCTGTTTTATTTGAATGCAAAGAATGATGAACACATACTTCATGGTGACTTTTACCAGTGTTATAGGTCAAGCACAAACAGCATCTCCATTTAGATTTTCTTCACACTGCACATTAGTGTCCTTAACTTTCCATGGAAATGTAGGTATTGAATGGATTCCTACTATATAAATGCCCCTCATATCTGTGAGACAGCAACAAACAAATGACTTTAAATTAAATGCACACTAGCAATAAAGGCATGAAATAATTTAAGAGTAAAGTTAATGGTATTTGCCATTCAAAAATACTCAAATATGGTCAAAAGAAAAAAGAAAGACACACTGTCTTAAAGTGGGGCTTTCCTCGAGATGTTTCATATCCTCAGTCTCTTCTGGCACTAAAATTTCATTATGGGTAATTGTCCCAGTTTGGTTATATCCATCATAAAATCCTTCCTGCCCTTTTCTACCCTTCTCCCTCCCCAGGCACAGTCCCAGTCACTCATTAAGTATAAATACTCAGGGCCACAGCTTTCATATCTTTCCATATCACTCTATGGAAAGAATATTGTCTTTGCCAATAAGCCTAGGGCTTCAGAAGATATAACTGAAAGACACCTGGTAATTATCCCACTTACTACACTTAACGTAAATAGACATTAAAATGCTAATGTACAAAATTAATACCCGTCATAGGACATCAGCAGAATGGAGAAGTAAGAACCACCAGGACTTTGCTCCTCCATGGAGGCGAAAATGGACCAAACTACCTTTTTCAGTGCTCCAGAAGCCAGTCAGGAGACCACAGCACCATAGGCAGACACAAAATGAAGGAGAGTCACACTGAAGAGACCAGAATTTTGTTACACTTGCCTTCAATAGTTGTTCACGCTGCATAGCATTCCATAACAAGACTGTGAGAAAACTCTCCCCTCTCCTCAGGAGAGAAAGACGTAAGTGACCTCTTACATGTAATGATCTGGCTTTTGCAGCTGCCTGATAGACCTCTAACTCTCGTGCATGACATGGAGGGCTGAGGGCACCCTCTGGATGCACTATGGTGGCCGCTCAGAGAAAACCTGAGTACTTGTTCAAACAGCAGAGAAACGGCAGAGCTGAAGGCAAACATCAGGGAGAGGAAGGTATCATGGGCTCCAAAGAAGGAAAAAAAAACAAAAACACTTTTACAACTGGAAAATTACAAAAACTCAGATATTACATATCCCCAAAGCATGTTGACAAGCCCCAGAATTAGCAGCACAGCTGACTGTTATTTGTGTTCTCCTGTCAAAGTAAGTACATAAAGCCTGGGACCAGAGGCCATTTCTTTTGTTTGTTTTAATTCCCAAATCTCAACAAAGGATCACAAGGCATACAAAAAAAAAAGAAAAAAAAAACAGAAAAATAAGTCCCAATCAAAGGAACAAAATAAAGACCCCAGACTGGCCCTAAATAAATAGAGAACTATTAAATGCCTACAAAGAATTCAAATAACCATGAGAAAGATGCTCATACAGGAAGAGAAAAGAGACAGGAAAATAAATGATATCAGGAAAACTATGCATGATCAAAACAAAAATCCAAAGAGGTACAAAGTATAAAAGACAACAAAACAGAAATTGGGAGGGGCGCCCCGGTGGCTCAGTCATTAAGCATTTGCCTTCGGCTCAGGTCATGATCCCAGGGTCCTGGGATTGAGCCCTGCATCGGGCTCCCTGCTCGGCGGGAGGCCTGCTTCTCCCTCTCCCACTCCCCCTGTTTGTGTTCCCTCTCTTGCTGTGTCTCTCTCTGTCAAATAAAAAACAAAAACAAAAACAGAAATTGGGAGCTAAACAGTACAATTACTGAATTTAAAAATAAACTGGGGA